TCTAAATTATTGATATAATTAATATTATTACAAAACTCATTCATGCAAATATTTCCATTGAGTAGTTTTTAAATACTCCTTATTAGGTTAACTTATTTGAAAAAATAAAATCACCGCTTAGTTTATAAAAATTTTAATATTGTTTTTAAATATATAAATTTTATTTTTTAATTTAGTGACATAACTCAACTAAATTAAATTGATTATAATTTTGGTCAAATGTCACACACACACATACATAATCTGTGTGTGTGTGAATTAATCGTTCAACCACTCAAACCACTAGTTCAACAAGTGAATCAGTACCTTGATTGATTCAGTGTCTGATTCGGATTTTAAAAGAAGTTCGAGGTAAATACTTCCACACTTAACTATAATACTTTTTTTTTCATTTCTTTCACTTTCACCAAAACACTTCTACATTCTATTAAAAAAATATTTTTATCCCTAAAAATTTTTACTTTGCCTATGATATCATTTTTTTATTAATATTTTATCCATCACATATATCTTACTTTTATCTCCTACCATATCAAAGACAAAGCTTGAATGTCAACCATAAATATATACTCTTTTTTTAATACTATTGATTTTACTACAATGTAGCATCTATTTTATTAGGCCCCCACTCCAAACAAATGGAAAGAAAAGGAAAAAAAAGGAGAACACAGATTTTAACGTGGTTCGGCACCTCAAGACCTACTCCACAACCCTTTTCCAATATTTGACACTCACAACCTAAAATCTAATACACAATTATATAGATTGAAGGATTGTATTGTGTGATGGAAGCCTATATCCCCTCTTTATTTATAGGCTCCAATCCCTCCTCAATTTTCCTATCCCACCGATGTGGGACTTTGAAGTAACACTCAACAAATCTCCCCTTAATTCAAAGTCCTACATCATTTGCGATTTCTGCAGCGATACTCCCATCCTGCAGAATCTTCTGTCCGGTAGTACTCTTATCTTCAGAGGAGATCATCTTCATAAGTGATAACATTTGCGAAAGAAGCTTCCTTCAATTTGCCCTTCTTCTCCTTTAGGATCTGCAAGTCCTCTTTGAGTTCTGGACAACCGTTCTTCGTGTGACCCAACTTTTCACAGTAATAGCACCTAACAGTGCTCATCTAGTCGCAGTGTAGTCCTTTCTGCTATCATTGACTGCACAAACGGCTTAAAGGATTTTGGTAGTGAAGCTAGTAGAAGCAGCCCTTGCTCTTCATCCTTGATAGTCTCCCCTACATTTAACAGCCTTGATACTTGCTCATTAAACTTGTTGATGTGATCAATTACGCTACCTCCCTCTTCCATATTCAGTGAGTACAAGTCCATCCTCATCATCAACCAGTTAGTAAGTGTCTTCGACGCAAACTTGCTCTCCAACGTTTCCCACAGCTTCTTTGGTGATGTCTCTTTCAGCACTGTCACTTACCAGATCACCCGGGCTCTGCACCTTGGCTCCGATACCACATGTTGGGACTGCGTGTGCCCTCACCCCAACCCCGCATTAGTATGATATTGTCCGCTCTGGGCCAAGCCCTCACGGATTTGTTTTTGGGCACTTCCCAAAAGGCCTCATACTAATGGGGTTGAGTGAACCTATATATTTTGGTTCATTTACTCATATACTTCCGGTGTGGGACTTGGAGGAATCCCAACATATTTATACGTTTTTCAATCTAATGACATATAAAGAGTCATCACCTTTGCTTTTGTTGGAATTCGAACTTGGGTGAACTTTTTTATGAATCATGTAGAATGAGCTTCATCCACTCATGGAAGGAGAGAAGTTCAAATATACACTTTGTTTTCCCATTATTCAAAATACGAATTGTTTAATGGAGGGAGAGACTGAGGGAGTAGTTAAGGTTTTACTCTAATAAACGAAAAAAATTACTTGTGGAATATTATGGGGGAGGATTGATGCGAAATCTATATTATCAAATAAAAACTTTTAAAATCAGAGTTTAAATTGAAATGCATGTTTGATGTATCAAAACACAATCTAGCTCCATTATCCACGTAAATCAATTATTCCAGATATTTTGTTTTGAATCCCTCAAGCATTATTTGGGTATGTAATATACGGAGTATGTAGAATATTATACTACTCTGTATATCTATGAGAATGTTGTTAAATTTTATTCACATCATGGCTAAATCAATTTCATGCATGATGGCATGATAATTAATTTGTTTACACTGTTTACCCTAACTATTCTTCCTAAAGTTGAAATTTATACCAATGGTCGAACTTGAACTTCTAAAAATGTTACAACAATGGTCTCTTTGAGCCAAATTTAAGAATACGTTCATCATAAGCTCGTCGAGTGCCACACGTGAGTTCTGCAATATGTTTTCTCAAACATTATTTTTTACAGAGTATATCTTAAATTTCTTGAAAGCCTAGATAAATATTCTCGTTTTAGCGGTCAGTAACCGAATTTGAAACCCGGACATCAATCAATCAAGCTCTTCATTTATCGATCATCCTTTCAATTTCATTAACCTATGACATCCTCATCAAGCTCTAACAAGTATATTGATAAGCGTGTGATTAATGCATTTTTAAATTTGTCGTAGAGGAACCATTATATTGATGTAATGTTTTTAAAGTTTCAAGGACCAATGATGTAATTTTTGAAGTTTAGAAGGAGTCCGTGTAATTTCAAAGAGTTCAAGTTAAAAAGACGCAAAAAAATCATTGATGTTTTTGTGTTTAAAAATAGCTAGGGTCATGCTAGGGTAACACCACATGAGTGCTACCATGGATGCACCCATATTTTGCACACACACAGGCGTTAATTGTTTGTGCGACACAAACGATTAACGTATGTATTTGTCTCTGTGGAGCATGGGTGCCCCCATGGTAGCACTAATGTGATGACACCCTAACATTATTCTTAAAAATACTCCGTTCACCCTTCCAAGAAGATTATTATAGTATGACTTTTTTGGTTAAATTGTCTAACATTTTGACCATAAATAATACTCCCTCCGTCCCATAAAGATTCGGACGGTTTGACTAAAGTGATAAAATAAGGAGAGATAATTTTGTGTTGACTTTCCAAAAATACCCTTGATGTGATGAGTAAAAGTAGGATGTGATGGGTAGATTATTAGGAAAAAGGTATAATGTGATAGGTATGGTATGTATGAAAAAGTAAGGCGTAAAAGTGGTTTTTTAATAGAAATGAGAATGACTTTAAGGGACACAACTTTTTTAAAACGAGACTGACTTTATGATACGGAGTGAGTATATAGTTTTATACTCCCTCCGTCCCAAAAAGTCTTTCTCCTTTTATTTTTTTTTGTCCCAAAAAGTGTTTCAGTTTTCACACTTTTGGACCCTAATACCCTTTACCCTAATTAAATCTACCCAACCCACCCAAACCCCTCCACCTACCTTATCCATCTATCAATTCACTCCTACGGTCCTACCCCACCCACTCCTCTAGCCTCATCTCCATCTCTTTTCTCTACCTATTCCACTATTTGCTTCTCATTGTTAGATTAGGTTTGAGGGTAAAATGGTCAAGTCAATGAAAAAAAATTGGCTCCTTAATTTGGTTGAAAGTCAAAACAAGAAAAGGAAAAAGGGACGGAGGGAGTATAATTAAATGTTATAAAAATTTGTTATATTAAAATTATATTTGAAAATAAGTCCTACTTTACTAAATTTATACTCCCTCCGTCCCAAAAAGATTTACACCTTTCAAAAAAATTGCGTCCCACAATCTTCTACCCATTTCAATTAAAAAACCACTTTTACCCTTACTTTTTCAAACCCTATCTATCACATCATACCTTTTTCCTAATAATCTACACATCACATCCTACTTTTACCCATCACATCAAGGGTATTTTTGGAAAGTCAACACAAAATTATCCCTCCCTTAATTTCTACTTTAGTCAAAACGTGTAAATCTTTTTGGGACGGAGGTAGTATTATAACTAAATATACTTTTCACATAATTTATGATCAAGGTATAACATAATACTCCCTCCGTCCCCAATTTGATTACAAATTGGGTTTACGAGGAGAAACATCTCACTTTTTAAAATCATTTTATTTACAAATCGGTATATCGATAAGAAATACTCTGTAAAAATTATATATTAAAAAATTACATCAAAAGTTCTATGAAACAAGAGATGATAAGATTATTTTATTTTATCAAATAGTTAATGAAATTGCGTGTACAAACAAAAGTTATTGAGAGGAGACAAAAAATTATAATCAAATTCGGAACGGATGGAGTATGACTTAAAAAGTCAAAATGTGATGATCTTTTTGGGATGAAGTAGCTAGAAAAGAAGTCTAGATGCAAACTACGTACTCCCTGTGTTTCAATTTGAATCGTCTGTTATTGTTTACAATATTTAACTGAAATTATTTTAAAATGATTTTATTGAAAATAAGTGTAGAATTTAAAAAATTAAAATAAATTTATGTTTTTTAAAAACTATGTTCTAAATCAAAATTTTTAGTAAAATTATTATCAAAAGAGTAGTAAAATTAATAAAAAAATGATTAAAGTTTAACACTGAGAATGATTAATAGACAACTTATTTGGACCTCGCCTAAAATCTGGAAAGGGTGCAGTGCATACATATAACAATTAACAACTCTCATTTTTTGGTGTGATATTATTATATTGATGAATGTATATAAAAATACTCTCTTACTTTCAGAAAACATTTCTACCTTTATTTTTTGCGTATGTCACATAGTTTTTTTGACCCCACTTAAAATGTCTTAAATACATGTAGTAAATTATTTACCTACAATAAAGGAAAAATGTGATGGATTTTACACATTTTTAGGTGAGGATAAAAGTTTTTTTTGTGAGATGAAGTAAAAAAATGGGAGTGGAACTATTTTTTATTTATTCGAGAGGGATGAAGTAATTATATTGAGTATGAGTGTATGATTTGGACAAGACTGATGATGTTCGTTCTAATATAAAAAAATAATGATGTGGTTAATTAATTAGTGCGAGAGTATAGACGCAGTGGAGAGGAAACTGAAAGACATGGAAATGAAGTTCCTGAGGCAAAGGGTGGAAGAAGGAGGGGTTTACGTGGATCAGCTGTTCTTCCACGACCCCGACGGCTTCATGATTGAGATCTGCAACTGCGACAATCTCCCGGTGGTTCCGCTGGCCGGCGATCTCAGGTCGTCGTGTTCCCGCCACAGTATCCCCAACATGCAATCGCAGCAGACGCAGCAACACCGTCGTCACCACCACATTCATGTCTGAATAATTGAATCCAATCCCAACGATATAATTAATAATCAAACGTATGTAATGTATCATACAATTACGTTGTACTTGCAATTATTTAATTACGTAAGATCTATCGGCAGGCTAGCTAGCTAGCTAGGCGGGCTTAGCTACCATTTGTTTTTCTTCCTTTTCCTTTCCTCGCGTGTTATGTTTCTCTGTGAGTTTGGCACCTGAATTGTAAGGACGTACCTAACGTGTTTTAATCTACTAGCCATTCCTTACGTTTTATGTAGAAATTAATAAGAGTAAAAATATTCTGTATATTGAATTGTTCTTGTGTTTACAAAGGTCTAACCCCCTTTATATAGGAAGAGAGTAAAGCATTTAAGTAAACTTTTATTCCTACCATATTTCTATTTCTACTATAACAAGAACTAAGCAAGCTAGGAAAGATACTAAACCGAATCCCAAAGGGATTCAGCTTTCTTCTTTGATCCGGCTTTCTTCTTCTGTCGCCAACAATTACAATATCCCACCGGTAGGCATTGAATTTTGTATGCCCACCGGCAGGGGAAGAAGCGTGTTTGAGGTCTCAAGAATTCAAAACTTGCTCCGATACCATGTAGAAATTAATAAGAGGAAAAATATTCTGTATATTGAATTGTTCTTGTGCTTACAAAGGTGTAACCCCCTTTATATAGGAAGAGAGTAAAGTATTTAAGTAAACTTTTATTCCTACCATATTTCTATTCCTACTATAACAAGAACTAAGCAAACTAGGAAAGATACTAAACCGAATCCCAAAGGGATCCAGTTTTCTTCTTTGATCCGGCTTCCTTCTTCTGTCGCCAACATTTTACGTTAATTCTTGTCTTGAATAGTACATGTTCCACTTAGAGCACCTCCATTGAAAACTTGAAGAGAGCAATTTGTTTAAATGTTTAAAAACCATCCAACTTGATGGACGGTCCCACCCATCTTTCAAATTTCCAGCCATTTACGGGTTTATTTCTTTTGGTTATCGTTTTGCTTCGGCATTTGTTTTTCTCTCTCTTTTGTGCTTCAATGTCTCCTTTGTTTTACAAAACGCTAACCCAATAAGCTCACAAAAAAAAATTAATTTGAGACAAATGTTAGATTTACGAACAAAATGGTCACAAACTTTACAAACTTATCATTTGTGAACTTTAATAAAAAATTAAATAGTCTAAAATAATTTTAAAATAAAAATTTAAACCATAAAAGGTAAGTTATTGGTAAAGTTTGTGATTAGTCTATTTGTGAACCTAGCATTACTCTTAAATTTATGTTTACAGTGTGCATCCACTCATTTCTTTATTTTCATAATTTTATTTTTGTAATTACATACTCCCTCTATTCCAATTTAAATCACATGTATAGTAACGAAAATATGGCAAAAAAGTGAATGAAGTTTGACCATGTGAATAGTAAACATGCAATTTAATTTGGGATGGAAGAAGTATCTTCTCTAATTTGATTCTCTTAAATATAAATTCATATAAATTTTAAAATATTTAGTTTAATAATTTTTGTGTAATCTTTTATTCATCTAATATTTTATGGTAAATAATAAATATTATTTATAATTAATATTATTTATAGTATAATATGGAGTATAATCTATTTAAAATAATAAATAAAATAAAGTACAAGTGTGGGACTTATGGATAATTAAATAAATAGATGGATGGATGAAATGGCTTTTGAGTGTTTGTTTAAAAAATAATGTATTTAAATATAAATGATGTGGCTATGATATGGATGAGAGAGAATGATAAATTAATGAATTTAATATTAATGGATGTGGATGCTCTTAGGCTCTGTTCCGTTCAACTTATTTTTTCTGATCTGATCTGATTTTTTGCAGTTCTGATCTGATTTGATCTGATCTGATTGCATCTGATCTGATCTGATCTTATTGGATTTGATTTGATCTCGTCTGATCTGATTGGTTTAGATCAGATCTGATCTGATTGAATCTGATCTGATCCAATCTGATCTGGTCTGATTAATTATGATTTGATTTAAAACTCAAATCCATAATTTGATCTGACTTTATAATAACTTTTAAAAACTATAGTGATAATTCATATTATAGTATAATCAATATATTTTCGTTTATAATTATTTTTTAATGAAATAAAATTAGTTAATTCATATATTAGAATAATCATTCATATTATAATGTAATAATATTTTTTCATTCATATTTTATAATGTAGTAACTTTAGAAACTTAAATTACAGGTAGCAATAAAAATGTATTTTAAAAGTAGAATTAGATTGACATTGTCAATGTATTTTAAAAATAATTTTTCCAACGTCTAATAATTAACCTATGAATTGACATGTGCCACTTGTGCTTTTCCGATCAATGCGACACCCTCCAAAGTCTGCATCACTAAAACCTATCAAGCTTAAATTCGTATTCTTGGGATACCATAAACCCATATTGGTTGTTCCCTTGACATATCGAATTATCCGCTTGACGGCGTTTAAATGTGATTCTTTGGGTGATGATTGGAAACGTGCACAAAGGCAAACGAAAGACATTATATCAGGTCTAAATGCAGTTAAGTAAAGTAAGATACCAATCATACCTCGACATAGCTTTTCACTTACGTGTTTTCCGCTTTCGTCGCTATCAAGCTTCAAGGATGTGCTCATTGGAGTTGGGTATGTCTTTGAATCTTCAAGGTTGAATTTCTATTGACTAGTTCTTTGGCATACTTGGTTGGGCTAATGAAGATGTCATCTTCAAGTTGCTTGATTTGAAGTCCAAGGAAGAAGTTCAACTCACCCATCATGCTCATTTCAAATTCACTTGCCATAATTTCTGAAAATTCATTACAAAAGCTTCATTAGTTGACCCAAAAATGAAATCATCAACATATAATTGCACAATGATAAGATCTTTTCCTTTTGTTTTGACAAAAAGTGTGGAATCAATCTTTCCTTTTGAAAATCCATGTGAAATGAGATGTTCGGTAAGTCGCTCATACCAAGCTCTAGGAGCTTGTTTGAGTCCATAGAGGGCCTTATGAAGTTTAAAAACTGTTGGGAAACGAGGCTTGGATAACGCAGCGGAAAACAAAAATTTATAGTCCAAAACTCGATTCCACCCAAGAACAACTTACGTAAATTACTAGCTATAGTAAGAAATTTACCTTAACGGTGAAAACGGAGGAACGGTCGGGGATGGTTTTGAGGAGATGAACGTAGCGCCAAACGTATGAAGCCTCCAACGTATCCACACGAACTTGCTCCAGAGTCCAAGATTAAACTTGTGCTAGCAAGTTTAATATAGGATAGTAAAAACTATAATAATACTACTTTGGGAGTAATAAATATATAGTAAAATATTTATCTTATAAATATTTTGTGTGATAAATATATAAATATTTATCTTATAAATAAATATTTATCTTATAAAATATTATAAATATTTTCTTTATAATATTTTGTGTATATTTCTAACACTTTAGAAAAATAACTTTGAACACAAAATAGGATTTTTCTTCTCTCTAAAATGGGATGGCCGAAAATTATACACATAAAATGGGGAGGGATTTTTTCTCATTTTATAATAAACAACTTAAATGAATTTCTAGGAAATAGCTTAGGGACAAAACAAATTAGGAATAATGTAATGTCCCCAACCAACACAACAAGACAAGTATCCTTTTGTTAATCAAATATTTGATTATAAAATCAAATATATCATTAGGTAAAAAATCAATTTATGTCTTGTATTTTCCCTTTGATATTTTCGGCCATAGCATGTTAAAATACATCACATTTTATTTTTACATCAATAATTATCATATAATTAAAATGATGAAAATAAAAGTAATATATATATATATATATATATATATATATATATATATATATATATATATATATATCGGCGCTACATATATATATATAATAAAATTTGTTTTGTCAAAATATAATTATCATATAATTAAAATGACACAAACAAAATATAATTTTAAAATACATATGTATTTTCGAAATACATCTATATATAAAATTATCACAACTATATATTTAATATTACTCCCACTGGTGTAGTATACGACTCCCTTACAAGTCCTAAGTGTGTGACCCTTTAGGTATCCATAACACTGGCAATGATATTAATAAAATTAATACCATAGATAATAAGCGATATCTAGCAACACATTATTATCCCCAGATTATGAAAAAGACATTCATCTCATCAATACCTTCTACGACACAAGACGTTCTATAACTATTATCCTTCTGCCCTATATGTCATGATTTAACACAAGGCATGGGATGTGTATCCTTGTATAGTTAAATCAGCTGTTACTGAATCTCAAGTAGACTGGCAGGGATCAGATATTTATCAGTCTCTAGATAGCGACATATCTGGGCATGGCCATGCACTTTCCCAAGTCCTACTATTCAGTGGGCCCATTGACATTATACTTCTATACAGTAGAAGGGACATATCCTGTATCTGTTATTCACATCTCTAAATATGCTTAGCGGCATACCCAACGCATAACTGTACGTCTACCAGTGTTTCAGATATCATTAGTTATGAATCAAAGCATACGGCCCCACATATCAGAGAATGTAATAACTTCAAGTCTGAGGATAGTTATAGCAAGGTCGATTTGAGAATACTGATAAACACATTACTGTAGATCCATGTAGTATTCTCAAGATGGGTCAATCCAGTCACATATTATCGATATAATATGCACCTACGTACAGATTAAGATATCACATTACCTATAGTCTATGAGACGCAACTATCTCATCTCGTACGTACTAGTCTTGATACGTTATGACGTCCGTATTATCATAAAGTGCGACTAGGGATATTCTAGACATAGCCTTCGTCAAGAAGTAACAGTCTCATAATCAGAACATCGTAGTCCTCATCTATGTTACTGAAGCACTATCGTCTATGGACTGAAGCTATGTTATGTTACACGAGATATAAAACATACTTCAAGGCCTTTCATTCATGATAAAGTGTACAGTTACATAGGTATTTGATTGCCGCTAGGGCACCTAAATACAACAAAAACATGATTTGAAAAATCAAGATTTTCAAAACTGGGATCTTGTTCAACATATACTTCTTCTTTCAACCACCCATTTAGGAAAGCACTTTTTACATCCATTTGAAAGAGTTTGAAGTTAAGAGCATTTGCAAAAGCTTATAACATGCAAATAGATTCAAGCCTAGCAACCAGAGCAAAAGTTTCATCATAGTCAAGTCCTTCAACTTGGCTATAGCCTTTAACAATAAGTCGACTTTTATTGGTGATAATAACACCATTTTCATCAAGCTTGTTTCTAAAAACCCATTTAGTGCGCACGACGGGTCGGTTTTCTGGTCTTTTGACTAGTTCCCAAACCTTGTGGCGTTCAAATTGCTCTAGCTCTAGTTGCATGGATATAATCCAATCACTATCTTTTAGTGCATCTTCTACATTATTAGGTTCAGTTTGACTAACGAACACATAGTGTGCACAAAGATTGTAATTGTTCCCAGTTCTAACTCCCTTTTCAATATCTCCGATGATATTGTCTCTTGGATGATTCTTCAAGTGCTTGTATGCTTTTGGAAGTTCCTTTTCCTCATTTTCTTCTTCTTGAGAAGGAATTTCCAAGGATTCTTCCTCCTCTTCATTAGAACCTGCAATTACTTTACCCGACACGAAGGGATCAGTTTCATTAAATTTTACATGCATAGATTCTTGTACTTTATGATTTGATTTATTGTATACCCTATAGGCTTTACTATTTTTTGAATAACCAAGGAAGATTCCTTCATTTGATTTAGGCTTAAATTTTCCTAAGTGATATTTGGTATTCAAGATATAGCATTTACAACCAAAAACTTTGAAATATGCAATATTTGGTTTCCTACCTTTCCAAAGTTCATAAGGGGTTTTTCTTATAACAGGTCTAAGTAATACCCGGTATAGAACGTAGCATGCCATATTGACCGCTTCTCCCCAAAAGTATTGAGGTAAGTTGTGCTCATTAAGCATGGTCTTTGACATCTCTTGCAACGTCCTATTTTTCCTTTCAACGACTCCATTTTGTTGAGGTGTCCTTGGAGCCGAGAATTGTGAGAAATACCGTGTTCATCACAATATGTTTCAAAATTTGTATTTCGCTATTCTCCACCTTTATCACTTCTAATAGAGGTTATGGTACGACCTTTCTCGTTTTGAATTTTCTAGCACAATTTAACAAACGCATTAAAAGCATAATCTTTATTGGCAAGTAATATAGCCCAAGTAAATGAGAAAAATCATCTACTGTGACAAATGTGAAACTGCCTCCACCCAAGCTTTGAACGTCCACGGGCCCAAATAGATCCATACGTAATAGTTCAAGTGGCCTTGACGTTAAAACTATTTTGATGGGTTTAAATGATACTTTATGTTGTTTCCTGAGGGAACATGCATCACAAAAACGAGAAGGGGGTATGCTCATTTTATGTAGCCCAACAACAAGTTCTTTTGAGTAAAGTTTTCTCAAAATGTCATACCTAGCATGTCCTAGGGTACGATGCCATAAGGTTGAAAATTTAAGTGAGGTAGTAGCACAAGTTATTTTTGAGTTTCTCTAGTCATTGGAATTGAACTTGTATAAGTTTCCATCTCTTTTAGCCTCAAAAATGATTTCATCGTTGTTTTGGCCATATAAAACGCAGGAATTTGTATTAAACTCAATTCTGTGGCTATTATCACAAAGTTGGCTTATGCTAATTAGATTAAATTTTAGGCCATCAACAAGATAAACATCATTTATTACAAAATCACTTGAGATACCTATCGTACCTTTACAGCTTGAGATCGGGATTTGTAGCCAAGAGTTACGTGTCCATGGCTTTTCTCCTTGATATCGGTGAACCATGCTCTTGTCCCGGTCATGTGCCTTGAACACTCACTATTCAAAATCCATGTGGTGTTTTTCACCTAGTCAAAGATGAATTTACTTTTGACTTAGGTTTGGGGTTCCAATCGACAAATACCCTATGTCGATATAAGGGTTTTGTCTTGGGTTGTTCCGGAAGTGGTATATGCGCCTTCCGTTTTTCATCATAATAAAAGAAATAATATCCACCATCATTTATTTTATTTTCTTGCAAAAAGGGTTTCTTTTGATATCCAAAATTCTTGGATTCTGATCGGTTAGAACCCTTCTTTATCCATTTTAGCTTGTGCATTTGAACCAATTTCTTGTTTGGACATTTCGTCACAATGTGATTGGTTTTCATGCAATAATGGCAAACCTTTACTTTTGAATATGAAGTTGAAGCATGGTTTGATGAATGGTTGATTTCTTTATTTTTAACCTTGCTCGTTGAAGCATTGGTGTTACCAAAACCAATTCCTTCTTTTAAAAGTTTTGGATTTTGATATTCTCATAGCTTCATTGAGTTGTAGCTATTGTAAAACTTGTCTAAGGCTCTTTTTGAGAGTGAGTTTTTGGCCAAATTGAAGAGGAAGAGGGAGAAGAAAAATTGAGTTCCAAAATTATTATTTTGGGTGTAGAAAATTGATATAATATTTTCTTTAAAATATTATTGATATATTTTCTACTATTTAATATACAAGATTAATATTATCCCTAAAATAATCTTAATATTTTAATATACTTCTTTAACACTTGCTAGAACAAGTGTTAGGGTAGACTCCGGAGATTGTTCGTGTGTAAAAGTTAGAGGCCGGATGCTTGAACGGCTACGCTTGCTCCTTCAAAATCTTTGCTCGACTACACGTTCATATCGCTTTACCGGAGAAGGTACAAGTTTCTATCTCTAAGTATAGTTTTAGTACATGTTCATGGGCTTGTAATCAGTATTGGGAGTTTAAATTTTTATATTTCCGCTGCCTCCCCAACCGTGGTTTCCTTTCAGTGGTATCGGAGCCAACGTACAAAACTATAGTTTTTCGTAGAACTTTTTCGGTTGGAAATTAATTTTTAACTTGGTAATTATTTGTTAATCTAGAAAATTAGTAAAATGATTTATATTAGTCTTGAAACAAATATTGGACTTAAATAAATCATTGAAATAAATATTCATTATTTATTTGTACCGAAAATATATTTTTGATAAATATAATCGGGAATTTCAAATATATATATTTATATATATTTCGAAATTGTAAATATATTTTTATTGGACATAAAATATCATTTTATGGTTAATAAAATTATATTGTAATTTTCAAAATTGCTTATTTCCAATTTTGAGTTAATTGTATTTGTTTAGATTTAATTCCAATAAATCTTAAATAAATATTGAAAACTCAAAAATAAACTTTATAAAACTTGGAAATATTATTTATGGGTGAAATAAAGTTGTTCATAAATATATTGGACAAAATAATATTTTTTAGTAATTAATTATATATACATTTCAGTATATATATTATCGTGTAATACACACACACACACACACACACACACACACACACACACACACACACACACACACACACACACACACATATATATATATATATATATATATATATATT